TGGACTGTTTCCTTGAGAGATTTGTTGACATCTTGTATTTTTTGGTGTGTTTTTTCTTCCATTTCTTTAAGGGATTTTCTCATGTCCTCTTTGAGGTCCTCTGTCATTTTCATGAAGATGTTTTTAAGGTCATTCTCTTCTGCTTCATCTGCATTGTGATGTTCAGGTCTTACTGGTGTATGGTTCTTAGTCTCCAGTGGTGTCATATTGGGTTTTCTGCTGTTGAATGTGCTTTTACATTTTCCTCTTCTCATCCTTTCTTCTGGTGGGTGTAGCAGGCATCTCTTCATCTCCTGGTGGGTGTGGGACCAAGGTTCCCTTCTGGAAGATGCAAACAGATCCAATACTCTGATGTCTGTCCTCTTGTGGATGGAGGTGGCACTGTTTCCAGTGCCTTGGCAGTGTCTGGGTGTGTTGGATCCTGCTGCCGAGTTAGGATCCAGTGAGCAGACCCCTGGTGCCAGATGTTTCTGTGCAGGGCTTGTTTAACCAGAACTGGAAACAGCCCCTGGCCTACCTGGGCCAGTGGATGGAGGTGGGACTGTCACTGGGGCCTTGGCAATGTCACCTCTGGACAACTTTATCTGGAATTAATGAGGTATCACATTGTGAAGTAGGCACCTGACAGGTAAGTGTTAAATGAATTAACAAATAAATGAGTAGCACCCTACACACTGGGGAAAGTGTCATTTGTACACATATTGCAGTCTTATTGGAATAGCTTCTTTATTATGAAAACAACAATGCTAGCTGTAGTTTTTAGGTGAAAGTGCCAATCAATTATGCAAGAATTTAACATCTGAATAGTGAGTGGGATCCATTTAGAGATGGGTGCTTTTCATTGTTGTTGCTGCTATAACGAATAACCTATTAGAATTTATCATTGAGAATGACTTATTCCTAAAATATGGGTAAAATAAACCCTAAGCTTACTAGTCAAAATTATATAGTGAGCTGGAGAGATGGCTCAGCGGTTAAGAGCATTGCCTGCTCTTCCAGAGGCTTTGAGTTCGATTCCCAGCAACCACATAGTGTCTCACAGCCATCAATAAGGAGACCTGGTGCCCTCTTGTGGCCTGCAGAGATACATGCAAACAGAATACTGTATACATAATAAATAAATAAATCTTTAAAAAAAAAGAAGTTTAAAAATCCTATAGTGCTGGGGCTGGAGAGGACTCTGAGTGGCTGAGGTGCTTGGTGCACACACATTAAGGCAGATCCTGGGGACTCACTGGCCAGTCAGTCTAGCCCAAATGGCAGTCTCTAAGGTCACTGGACCACTCTGTTGTAGACAAATAAGTTTAAGTAAATAAATAAATAAATGTGGAGAAGTGTTGAGAAAGACCTCTTACTGTCAACTTCTGTCCTCCACATGTGGCTTAATGGGCAAGAACCCTGTCACTGCCACACACATTTGTGTAAAAGTATACAAGCCTGTCTGGCAGTGGGGGCGCACGCCTTTAATTCCAGCACTTGAGAGGCAGAGACAGTCGGATCTCTGTGAGTTCAAGACCAGCCTGGTCTACAGAGCGAGTACTAGGACAGCCTCCAAAACTACATAAAAAACCCTGTCTTGAAAAAAAAAAGAACCCCAAACAACAACAACAAGCAGCCCAGGTATGCAAGCCCACCTTGCCAACGACACAGTGGCAATACATGAACAAAGTGAAGCTTTTACTTCTGCAATGCTCTTCAGTGTATGAAAGTTTATATTTTGATGAAATCTGATTTATCTTTTTCTGTGTTGCCTGTGCTTTTGATATCATAAGATTTACCTTTTATGATTTTAGTTTTTATATTTAGGTCATTGATTCATTTTGTGTAAAGATTGTTTTGTGGAATGAGGTATAGAAGTGTGTCCATTCTTTTATATTTGGGTGCCCAGTTATCTCAGCACCATTTATTGAGAAATGGTTCTTCTGCCCTTGAATAGTTTGCCTCCAATTGGATATAGATTAGCCATAGATGTATGAGTGCATTTCTGGACTCTCCCTTGCATCCCATTGGTCTGTATGTTTATTCTGTGGCTTCATGTTTTAATTGTTGTAGCTTTGTAGTCAGGAAATGTGCCTCCTCTAACAGTTGTTACTTAAAGTTGCTATGGCTGTTTGAGACTTGGAATGACAGTGGAGTTGAGGATTGAGGATTGGCTTCCATTTCTACAGAAGGAGCCTTTGGAAATTTGACAGAATTTATCCAATCTGTAGACTTTAGACAGAATTGATGACATCTTGGTGTTTTTACTGTTCATAATGTCTGTTCTTTGGATACTTGGAGAGAGTGTCTTGTACAGGTCTCTAGGGTTGTGTGTATTTAGTGTTTATATCATGGGCAGTTGTAAAACCCAGAGATTTAGTCCCTTTTATGTTATTACTGAGTCTTCCAATTCACAGACATGGACTGTTGTATTTGATCATCCTCAGTTCCCAGCATGTCATCATCATTTTCAGGACACTGACCACCCTTTCACCTCCTTACTTGAAATTTATTCTTGTGTATTTTATTCAAAAGTGAGGTCATAAGCTATTTCAGACATTCAAAGAAATGGAATGACCAGCAATGTGCTTGCCATCCAGTTTAGTCAGTAAGGTGTAATGGGATTAAAGCCTCCCCAACTGAATTTCCTTTTCTGCTGTCATAAGTTTAGTGTTTGCTACTACACATGACAATAGGCAGAACCTTCCAAATATGTCCCCTTCCTAGTCTAGAGAACCTTTGAATGTGCCACCTTACATGGCAAAATAATTTTTTCAGATGTGATTAAGGGTCTTGAGATGGGTCGTTTACCCTGGATTACCAAATTTCAGGGTCCTTATAAATGAAAGAGAGTCTGGATTTCTTGTAATGCACCCCTCTAAGGGTTGGGTGAGCCTCAGGTCTCTCACCTTCATGACATGGATATATGGCTATGGCTCTTGGGTTCTTTGTACAGGTTAGCCATGTGACTTTTTTGGGAGAAAAGAGGTTTATTTATTCATTTATTTATCTATTGAAAGAGAGATGTCTCAGTATATGTTCTAGGCCCTGAAACTCACAATCCTCCTGCCTCTGCAAGCAATGGGATTACAGATATGTGCCACTGTGTCCAGTTATTGTCCTGAAACTCACAATCCTCCTGCCTCTGCAAGCAATGGGACTACAGATATGTGCCACGGCATCCAGCTCAGTTAGCTACCCAGACACATGGCCACAGAGCTAATCTTGAGGGTTTGTTGACAGTAAAATGCTCCAGTTTTTACCCTTGATTCTCACATCTTTGCCAGCCAAGGCCTTTTCAGAAGCCCAGAGAGATGCCAGGACGATTTATTTCTTCATACTCATCAACTAGATATTGAGGAGTTGCCATCCCATCATGGCTTAGTTAGTCCAATTCTCTTTGTAACTCTGTGGCCATGCTACTGGGCACTCAACCACTTACTACTGTTGGTCATCCCTAGTGAAGTGCTTGAATTGTTTTTATTATTTATAGTAATCATCTTCACAAGATTTCAATGTTTATCTAAATTATAATATTAAACAGAGTGAATACAGATGAAAGGAAAACTGATAGCTATGTTAATTCCCAGGGAAAAAAATATCAGGGCAAAAGTACTATTACCTGTGACTTTTGTCTTCTAAATAGTGAATCTTTAAAAACTGAATGTGACTTTTGCCTGGTGTGGTGGTATCAGTATGCCTGTGATCCCAGTACTGGGGCAACAGAGATAGGAAGATCAGGAGGGGCCATCCTGGCCTATGTATGACTGTTAAGAAATAAAAGAAAAAAAAAACCGTGTGGGCTTATTTTACATATAGCCATATTTTATAGACTTCTTTTTCCCTTCATTCAGAAAACACAACAAATATACCCATCTTTTCACTACCTCTCTACAGCTATCAGTTTGAAGGATCACATTATCATATTTCCAAGAGGTCTGTGTCAAACTCCTTATACATACCGTGTAGCACAATGGTCAGAAAATGCTGTGACCTATGAACAGAGTGCCATAGCATTCCATTCAGCACTTTAATCAATCCTGTGTAGGAATCTAGCTTGTGATGCAGTGTTAGAACCATCCTCAGGTTCATGTTTATGAGAGGTCTGAGGAAACTTGTCATTGTTCCTCAGCTGGCTCTAGAGAACCAGGGAACAGCTCATGACTTGTCCATGGCTTGACTCACTATAAGGACACAGTGTATGGCTAGGCACAGTGGTGCTCACCTTTAATTCCAGTTTTGGGAGGCAGAGGTAGGAAGATGTCTGTGAGTTCAAGGCCAGCCTAGAGCTGCATGGTGAGATACTGTCTCAAACTAAACAACAACAAAAACCAGAAGAACAAAAATTATGTGGTGCACAACCTGTCTTTAGGAAGGGATGGCATTACACTCTGTGATAAAAAGCAGCAGCTGATCAATCCTTGGACTTCAGATAAAAATCTCCCCTTGAGGAGTACATGGACCCCAGACTGTTGTCTGTGAGGCCAGCACGGTGCTGATCCAGACCCTGAACGTGGATGTCAATGAGGAGGCCTCCGCACTCTGTGGGGCCCCTGGTAGTGGATCAGTATTTTTCCCTGGTGTAAGAAGGGACTTTGAGAGCCCATCCCATGTGAAGATATGCTCTCTCAGCTGGGACGCATGGGGGAGGGCCTAGGCCCAGCCCAGGATCATGTAGTGGACTTTGGGGAGCCCCATGGAGGGCCCTACCCTCCCTGGGGATCGGAGAGGGGATGGGATGGGGAGCTGGTGGGAGGTTGGGGTGAGGGAAGGGAGAGGGAGAAGGGATTGACATGTGAAGCAAGCTTGTTCCTAATTTGAACTAAAAAAAAAAAAAAAAAAAAACATTGAGAAGAAAAAAAAAAAAAAAAAACGGAAAAACTCCCCTTGAGATATAACTCTAGCCCTTAAATGTGTACTTTTCTAATATATGGATGATGTCATTACAAACACACACAATAAAAGATCTACCAAAATTCATATATCATTCAAAATAATCTGTTTTTTTTCTCTGCACTTAGATTTTCTCGTACCTCACTTTTAGAGATACGATCAGATGTGGTAAAGTCAACCACTCGTGGATGGCAATGACTCAGAGTGGCTTCCTGTGGAATGCTGTAAGTAGACACACAGGAAGGTGTTGTTCTTCCCAAAGGCAAATGGGGTTGGGCTTATGTGAAGGCCTGTAGTAGGGGTGCATTATTCCCTGCCCCCTCTCCCTTCTCTGTGTCCACCAGCAGTAAGCGCCTTTTATTTGTGTTTTTGGTTTGTTGCTTGGTTAGGTTTGGTTAGCACAAATCTGGAGGAAGATGTAAAAGTAGAGAATAACACTATCTTAAAAGATATATCTGTATTTTCAAATTTACATGGCAGGATATGTAGATTGGATATTATTTTTACATCGAAGCAAAGCCCCATTTTGTTAGATAAGTTGCACCTCATCCTTGTTTCCTTATTTTTGTTCTTATTCCTGTTGATGAACAAGCCGGTGTGTTGAACTCTTGAGTGTGAGAAAGAAACTTTTAAGAAAAAATTTGAGCTTGGCATGATGGTGCATGCCTTTAATCCCAGTACTCAGGAGGTAGAGGCAGGTGGGTCTCTGAGTTCCAGAACAGCCAGAGCTACATAGGGAAACCCTGTCTTAACACCCCCCCCCCAGCCTGGGGGTGAGGAATAAATAATTTTTTCTTCATTATTAGTTTTTATAATTATTTTATGTGTGTGAGTATTTTGCCTGCATGTATGTCTATGCACTGCATACATGCTTGAAACCTGCAGGAAGAGGGCATCACATCCTTGGGACTAGAGTTACAGATGGTTGTGAGCTACCATGTGAGCACTTGGAACCAAACCTGGCTCCTCTGGAAGAGCAGCAAGTGCTCTTAACTGCTGAACCATCTCTCCATCCTGAGGGTGGTGGTGGTGGTGGTGCTTGGGAGCATATGATCTGTAATGATCACCTCATAGCTCATGACTGTATAGCTCTGAAAGAGAGAAGGTGTTTCCTTACTGTGCTTGGCTGATGGCTTGCAGAACTGAGGGGAGCAGGCATTTATATGGACTCTGGGTAGCCAGGACTGACAGATAAACAAGAAGATCTCATAGCCTCCTTATAATTGTACCACACTTGAACATCACGGGGCAAAAGCAGAAATAAGAGAAGGGAGAACTCAAGAACACTGTCTTCTCTGGCTTTGTTCTTCCCTGCCATTGGCTTGTATTTTCTACACCTGTATCCAACAGGTCTCTGGGCAGAAGTGCTGGCTTTTTCTAATTCCAAAGCACTTGTATTCAGCTGTCACATAAACAAGAAATTTGTTTTTTTAAACCATCTGTTCTTGGAGTGTGGTCCTGAAACCAAGAGCATCAACACCATAGAGCTTGTGGGAGACACAAATTCTTAGGCTCCATCAACTCACTGGGTTTACTGAATCAGGAACTCAGAGTAGCAATCAGCAGTTGGCCTTTGCAATCCTCTCAGACCCTCCTTGCAGGCTCAGGTTTTAGAATCACTTTCTTAAACTCCAAACGAGGCAGGCATACCTTATTGGTTAGCTCCCTGCCAGTCTTGCACACAGGGAGAAAAGAGTGGTCCCATCAGGACCGGATGGTTTGTTTCCTCATAGGATGTATGGGCATGGAGTTGACTTTCTTCTGTAGTTGCTGGCACCCTACCTGTTCCTTTTAGCTGCTATAAGACAGTGGAACAGATTTTGTACCTAGTGCCTGGCCACCTGGACACAGGTCAGTGTGAGTACTTGGTGTCATCAGTCCTCCAGTCATTATCCATGAGGAAAGTGATGATGTCAGCTATGAAATAATTTTAGAAAGCAGGGAAGATGATGACCACTGAAGCTTGACTGATAACAGATAAGCAATCCCTGTTGTTCAGATTGCAGTATCATTCAAGAGACGTAAGCAGTCACCAAGGGACAGTGCATGCTTCATTTTTATTGTGGCCATGAGACTCCTCAGAGTCCCTTTGGAATGAGAAGTACAGTGATTTCCAGTTCATAAAAGGAATGTAGACACAGCACCAGGACAATGATAGTATTAAAAACTTTAGCCCCAAAGCCACGTTAGAAAAAGCTGGGCTGTGTGCATGGGCCTCTTGTATGTGTGCAGATGCATTGACAGTATCAAGCAGGCTTGGTATATGCCTTGCACAGTTTGAAAAGGTATTTACTTCACATTTTGTCATGGCTGACCATAATTTTGGAACTAGTAACGAATAGCTGCTATGTAAGCCCGCTGTGTACTCTGGGTGATGTTCTACGCACTTTATCCTGTCACCTCCCTACACAGGCATCTTCATTTTTCTCATTTTACAGGTGAGAAAATGAGTTAAATAATAACCCATATTAGTAAGTGCCTTGGTTAGAATTCAGACTGTAATCTGGCTGCCCACAAAGTGTGTGCTTAATTACTAAACATGAGTGAGGAAACCCATCACCTGCCACTTGCTCTTCTCCCAATTGGTGGCACAGGACCTCTGTTCTCCAGCTTCTTTTAAAAGGGAAGCCTGAGTTCTGAGGAGCAACTCCCATCAAAAGAATGGCATCAAGAAATGCTCGTGAAAACAGTTTGTCATTAAATTCCTCGGTAAGGAATTTCTTTCCTGGACTGAGTCAGAGTGCAGCATAGCTGGGCTGTGTTGGTTTAGGAGTTCTTTTGCCCCAAGTTCAATTTCCATCCAGTGTTCCCCTGCATGCAGTTTCTCCATTTATTCCATCCATCTAATCAGAAGACATTAGGTTATCTCCTTTTGCTATTAAAGTTCTACTCTTCATTCTTTTATAAATGATCTCATTGTAAATTCTTGATTGACCAATAATCACCAAAGTAAATGGAATTAAAGAATACTTGCTGTTACAAACTTTCTGTGTTCTCCCAGATTTTTGATCTATGAGATCTCACTGGTTTCTACTTTGTCTTAACTCAAAAAGGGACTGTATGCTGTGTGTACATTGAGTACACAGGTTCAGCCATAGAGTGCTTGCATCGAATGCATGGGGTTTGACCCACCACTTGAAAACAAATGTGTTTAAAATTTTTAGCTGAGTGTACTTTATTTTTCACTGGCCAAATCCCATGCTTTTGGAAGTACGTTTGTGAGTATAGTATTTATTTTGTAATATTTGCATGTTAGAGAAGTCTTTTTCTGTTTGGAAATGAATCCATGAAGAGCTTCTAGTATTTGATGCTTTAAAATGTTTAAAAATTTTATATGAAATAGATATTATTTCTTAATGTTTTTCATTTATCTCTTTTAGATTGATTTTTCCACAGTAAAAAACATTGAAGACAAATTTGTAGTGACTACTTTGCAAAAGTGGCGTCTAAATGTGCTGCGCCTGAACTTTCGAGGCTGTTTCTTCCGAACAAAAACTCTGAAAGCTGTCAGTAAGTATGCTCACACCAGTGGCCTGTATTGCTCTGCTGTGTCCACTCACAGTGGGAAAGTTAAGAGGAGACTCCAGTGTTGCTAGATTGTATGTTTCTGGAAATGATCTTTTGTAAACCATTCTTTTTGACCACTTTTTTTTTCATTTGTCTAGATTTTATGTATGTATCATCAATTTGTCTGTTAAAACTAGAATATATTCCCATTTTAAACAAAGTCTGTCAATGGGCCGTAACAGCATCCCCTTTCATCTTCCTCAAACCATCCATTCACTTTGTCAGTTTTCCTAAAATAGCTTTGACATATACATGACTTAGGAATGGATGACATTGACATTACTCTCCTCTGCCCTCCATTTTCTCCCACTGGTAACTCTGAAGGTTTAAAGAACGGGTTAAGAAGATCATGCTGTTTGCATTTTCCTTTATCTTGGAAATGTTTCTATGTCACTACTTACAGATTTACTAAATTCTTTTCAATGACTGTGAAATAATATTTGTGTAATAGATATGCTGTAATTTGCTTGCCTGCTTTCTTGTTGCTGGTATTTAAGTTATTTTCAGTTTTCCAAGGCCACTTTGTGCTTGCACTGTGCTGTTTAATCTTTAAACTATGTGTTTCTTGAGATTCAGTTTTTTACTTATTCCCCCAGAGGAAACCATGGATTTTAAAAGTATTTAGCCAACTAATTCCAGATAATGAGAAAAAATTTCACATGTGTATTTAACATCTTACTTTGGAAAAGTATAAGTTGCTTTTGGAAAAGTTAAGAGGGAAAGTCAAGTTACGGAGTGACATACACACAAACTTATACTCTGTGTATAACTTATGGAGAATTTCAATGTGAAAAAATAATATGCAACTGCAATGATGTATATATGTTTTAAGGACATATAGTAACATAAGAGACATGCATGGGTCTAGAACACTCCAAATACATGACAGGGGCTTGCCTGGAACAAGTTTGGTGAAACAGGGAGGAATGCACAAGAGTCTCAAATGTATCTTTACATTATTTTTTTTATAAATAAAGACATCACAGAAAAATGACACATTTATATTGGTTGCTGCTGGTACTGAAGGAAAAATATAGCTTCATGAATGATTGTATTGCACTGGAATACATGTTAAACTTCTTCCTGTTTGCAGTTTGTCATTTCATGTTTTTCAGTGCCCAGCAGATAAACACGTTATTATTATGTCTGTTTATTCCTATTCTTGTATCTTTTCCCCATTTTAATTTTCTTGCTTAGGATCTCCTTTGAAGGTTGAAAAGGAGCACAGCTATGTAGCTCTCTGGCCTTATTCTTAGCTCCCTTTTTATACTTTTTTTAAAAAAAGAATGCCATTCTATTTTTTTTAAAGATTTCATTTATTATGTATAAAATATGTATATATTCTGCTTCCATGTATATCTGCACACCAGAAAAGGGCACAAGATCTCATAACAGATGGTTGTGAGCCACCATGTGGTTGCTGGGAACCGAACTCAGGACCTCTGGAAGAGCAGTCAGTGCTCTTAACCTCTGAGCCATCTCTCCAGTCCCCCTTTTTATACTTTTAATGAGAATATATTATCATACTCTTAAATTCCATGCTATGACCATGTAAGAATGCAATGTTATCCTTGCTTCCACAGAAGCTATTCCTAGGTGTCTGTTTCTCATTCAATCTGGTCACATCAGTCTCTGGTTCTTTTTAAATTTTTATTTATTTTTGGTTTTCCAAGGCGGGTTTTCTCTGTGCATCCCTGGATGTCCTGGAACTCACTCTGTAAACCAGGTTTGTTTTGAACTCAGAGATTCTCCTGCCTCTGCCTCCCAAGTCCTGGGATTAAAAGCATACATCACCACTGTCTGGCCAGACTCTGGTTCTTAAGGAATCACTAATTTCTGATGTACCAAGACCATTTGTAATTTATATTCTAGGCATATTATAGATTTTGTTTCTTGTTTTTTTGAGACAGGGCCTCTCTGCAGTCCTGGCAGTCCTGGAACTTGCTGTAAACACCAGATTGGCCTTAAACTCAAAGAGAGCCAGGTTAGGTTAGGTTATGGGTTTTCTTGTGATGTCCTTGACCTCTTTGACTCCTACAATCCTTCTTCCCTCTCTTCATCAGGATTCCCTGCATTTTGTCCAATGTTTGCCTGTGAGTCTCTGCATCTTCTATCAGTTACTGGATGGAGGCTCTCTGATGATAATTAGGGTTGTCACCAATCTGATTACAGGAGAGGGCCAGTTCAAGCTACCTAATCACTATTGCTACGAGTCTTAGCTGGGGTCATCTATAAAGGAAACTGTAAGGTTTCCCTTGTATCTGGTTTCTGACTGATGCCACAAAGCTCCCCTTTCCAGCCATCTCTTTCAGTACTCCCCCCCAACCCTATCCCTTGAGTTCCCATGTCCCCAGTCCACCCAGGAGATCTCTTCTATTTCCCCTTCCCAGGGAGATTCATGCAGCCCCCCTTGAGCCTGCCTTGCTACCTAGCCTCTCTGGGTCTGTGGATCGTAGTTCAGTTATCCTTTACTTTACAGCTAATATCCACTTATGAGTAAGTACATACCACATTTGTCATTCTGGATCTGGGTTACCTCACTCAGGATGAGTTTTTTCTAGTTCCATCCATTAACTCTTCAAATTTCTTGATGTCATTGTTTTTAACAGCTGAGCAATACTCCATTGTGTAAATATACCCTATTTTCTTTATTCTTCAGTTGAGGGGTATCTAGATTGTTTCCAGGTTCTGGCTATTATGAACAATGTTGCTATGAGCACAGGTGAGCAAATGTCCTTGTGTTATGAGTGTGCCTCCTTTGGGTATATGCCCAAGAGTGGTATCCCTGGATCTTGAGGTAGATTGACTCCCAATTTTCTGAGAAACCACCATACTGATTTCCAAAGTGACTGACTTTTTCTGTAGTCTTAAAGGTAGATAAAATAATTATAAACCTTACACTCTTTGCCTCTGTTTCTGTCTCTTTATATCCTTCTACATATATCTCTATACGTACTCATACAAGAAAACATATAGAGCTGGGTATTGGTGGCCCACACCTCTAATCCCAGCACTTGGGAGGCAGAAGTAGTTGGATCTCTGTGAGTTCATGGCCATCCTGGTGTTGAGAGCTAGTTCTAGGACAGCCAGGATGGTTACACAGAGAAACGCGCCCCCCCCCAAAGAAAGAAATACACATGAAAAATGTATTGTTTACTAAATCTGTATTTTAAAAATAAAAAAGTGAACTTTGGAAGTAATGTTTAAAGCTTCAGTTTGACTTATGATTTTGATGACAGCAACAATGAAGACTGGAGTGAGTTTCTGAGGAATGTGAGGATATAGCTCTGGAAGCTCACATTCTTGTTTTGTCCCTGGTCTCAGAGGAAAAGTCTCAGGCTTTCATAATAAGTAAGATATTATCTGTTGGTAACCCCTCCACACAATGCTCTTAATTCAATTAAGTAAATTCCCTTCTATTCTGCACTGCAGGTTTTTTCTCATAAATGTGCTGGATTTTTATCAAATGTGTTAGCTTCATCACTGGTTTCCCACCTCCCACTTTATTAATATAGCATAGATCACACTGAGTGGTGTTTGTGCATTGAACTACTTTCCTTTTGTTACACCTCAAAGGAAATAAGAGCTAGTTATTTTTTGAGCAAATAAGAATGACTGTAGCCCAGAAACACAGGTTCAAGTTGCCCTGAGTTGGTCACCTGAACTTTTTATAATCATTGAACAAAAAGTATTTACTAAATACATTAGTGGGGAAATCAGGTAGGCTGGTTTCAACAAAGTGGTGGTGTCACTGCTATAGATTTTAATTTTTATTGTTTTTATTAGCACATGCTAATTACACATAGTAATGGGTCTCGTGATAGCATTTTATGCATGTATATATTGTATTGTGATCATCTCCTGCCCAGTGTGCAATTAGCACCCATGTGCCATTTCCTCTTGCTATCGAGTCTGCTTCTGCACTCATGTCCTCCATTTCCACAGCTGCTTCTCTATGACCAGTCTTATTCATGCATCATGTACTATCCTTTTAGCATACTGTCGTATTTTATTTTCTAACATTTTCCTAAGGGTATTTGCATACTGCTTGGATCACTCATAGACGGACAACACTGTCAGTATTAACATTTAGCAGCATGTTCAATACTCATTCTTGCCTTGAGTAAAGAAGCCTAACCCATCTCATTGGTGCAGTGATTTCCATACAATTACTACTTCTATGCAGAAGATGCGATCGTCCCACATTTCTTCTGAGAACTTCCAGGGACTTTGGGGAATCCTTTTTAAACAATAGAAGGTACAGAGTGGGTTCAAGACAGGCAGAGCAGCCTGGCTCAGTTCCCAGTACAAAGGGACTGAATCCAGTCCCCTGGTTCTCAGCTTGTAGAAGGAGGAAGTTAGAAGGGAAAATGCAGAAACTGGGTAGCATATGAAGGGAGCAAGTGGATGAGAGAAGACACAGTCAGCAGAAACTAGGATGTCTAAGGTGTGTGTGTGTGGGGGGGAGAAACAGTCACTGAGTGCAATTAGCATCAATTCAAGTGTCATCAAGAGGGTATGGCAGGGGACAAGCTGGAACCACAGCCCTTCAAGTTCTCAGGCTTACAGTGCTGTGGTTCAACAGCCTGTGGAAGGTGGCATGAGCCAGGGATTCTACCACCTTTGCATGCAAACAGGCTAGGATAGCAGCACATGGCTGCCAACCCATTGAGAGTGTAGGCTCAATGCTGGTGGAAATCCAGCCTGTTCCTGCTTTCCCACCTGCAGAACTGCAGCTTCTTTCCAAAGGCAGGGGGAGCATTTCTTCTTCGTGAATTCTTTCTACCCACTAGATTTTCTTCATTATTTCATCACTTACACTAGAAAAGATGCTGCAGCTTCTGATTTGGCCAGGGCACCAGAAGGACACGAACGACCATGTCTTCTTGCTTCTTTCGATGGCAGGCTCACTATGCTTCTTTGGATTGAATAGGTGTGATCTT